GCAAGAAGAAAACTCACGTAAAGGCTGTAAAGTTTGTACTTCAATGTTAAACTTTTTCTCGAACATCTCATTAAATGAAATCATACATTGTTGCAATGTTGTATCGTCTTTAAAGTATTTGTATATGTGAATGTTTTGGGCGCTTAAAGACTGTTCGTCATTTTCTATCTCGACTTGAAGTATAAAGTCAACCTTTCTGAAAGCACGTGTTATATACATATTTGTTATGCCAATGTACTTTCTCTTCATTTATGTTCACAATCCAGTCTGTTGGAAACTTAAACGTTACTCTGTTCCCCTTTATTTTGACGTCAGGGTTTTCACTACTGAACGCAACAGATAAAGGTATTTGTCTATACATTTAATTCGGATAAAAATAAACCATTTACTCTTTCTTTGCTTTTGCTTCTTCTCTAGCTTTCTTCGCCAGCAAACGTGGGTCTTTTGTCTTCCAGCAGCTAATGCAGCAAGTTTTTTTTCACTAAGTTTTCTCTTTGGTCTCTCTGGCTTTTGTTCTTGTTTTTGTTCCTTCAGTTCGGATAAAATTTGCTCACGAATTTCTTTCTTCAATGCTTCAACATCTATGACCCCCTGGGTCTTGTCCGTAGGGCTTGTCTGAGTCATTTGACTGCAGATAAAAAACAAAATTAAAACTTTAACCGATGTAAAATGAGCTTGTCAAAATCAGAGCGAGAGTCTATTATATTAAATGACGCAAGAGGAATACAACATCCTTTCTATTACGTAAGTCAGAGTAAAGATGGTAAAATATACGTAAGAAAAAGAAAGGTTCCATTAGCGAATGCAGAAAGCGACAACATTAAGGTGTATGGCAAGGGTGAAGTCCACGAAGCCCATATAAAACCTTCTGTTCAAACTGAAAAGTCAATAGAACCAGAAGAAAAGAAGCCAGATGTACTTTCAATAACGAACCAAGAGCTTATTGCAAAGTTCGTGAATTTCATTGAAAAACAAACCAAGTCAAAGAACCCTGACCCACCAGTGAAAGAAGTTGAGACAAAAGAGAATGTACAGTTCATTGAAAATGTCAAGAAACAACTTCCACCACGAATGCCAAGAAGAAGAGTGAGAATAATGAAGTAAATAGATATTTTTATCTGAAGAAAATACATGCAGAACGAACAGCTAAACGAATTTACTCCAGCAGAGCATATTCATCAGATTCGCTCATATTTCGATATCATAGACAATGCAGTTCAAATTGGTGACACTAATAGAAAATATTCTGACGCAAAGATTCCATCACAACCTGGAACTGCTAAAGATAACACATGGGTAACATTCAATCTCTCACCTCCTGGTGAAAATATGTTGGACCTTTACAATACATTCATTACGTATAAAATGGAAGGTCAATTTATTGTAGATAAAGAAATTGGTTCAGGTTCCAATAAAACAAACCCACCAGGATTTTGGATTGGTTTCGATGACGCTTTCTATGCAGTTGCTGGATATCAAATCCTTGCAAATGGTCGTATCGTATATTCTCAAGACAACGCAAGAGAAGAAGCATATATAACTTCAAACTCACAAACTACCGAACAAATAAAGAAAGTAGATGTTTTCTCAAAGACTCGACATGAAGATGTATGGAGTCATTCGGGAACATGCAGAACAGGACAAATTGTTAGTGGTCCAATTACAGCAGGAAAATCATTTGATTTTAAGCTTCGTTTAAGAATTCCTGTTAGAAGATTCCTTCCATTAGAAGCTATTCGATTTATTCCAGCTTTTGCAGGAAACATTCAGCTTAAAGTAAAGTTCAGTAGCGACGCCTTACAATGCACATCTATATCTGTAAATGATATCATTGCTTTCATCCAACTCTTAAAGTTGCATTTGCTTCAGATTCAAATCCACCGACAAATAAATTTGTTCCATGGAATGAACCATTCACTATGATAACGAAGGCAGTAGAAGCTAGTGGAACAGTTACTATTACAACCGTAACCCAGCAACTAGTTCGAACAAAGATGGATTTAATGAATGTTTCATTCATCCAAAGTCATCTTCTTTAGACCCTAACATTTATACAGAACTTGTAGAACATTATACAAACGAGGCTTTATGTTTTCCTGTTAAAGTTATGGATTGGATTCCTATGGACGGTTCATTCTCAAAGAATACAGATAGTTCAAGTGCAACATTTACAGCAGCTTATACGCCTATTAATGTTAAAAGTATTTGGGCACTATTTAGAAAGAAAGACAACTATTATGTTAATTTGAGAACCCTAAGTTTAAATATCTTCAGCTTTCCATGGGAGCTTATGGAAATATGCCTGCAGAACCCGAAAAATCATATGGACCTGTATTTTATTAAATGGTTGCGAACGCCTGCAATACAAACAATGATATGATAGGATTTAATGAAGATGTTATGAGGTCATTGGTGGATGATGGTAGTGTGGAACATAAATGGGATAGCTATGACAACACACATTTTCTTATGTGGTTTTCCAACAGAAGTGGACTTTTGCTTCCAGCAAGGTCAAACATCTACTGCTCCAATAACATACAAATTGTCTGTTAAAGGACCTATTGAACTAGCAACTGAAAATGTACCAAAGCCACTTATTGGATTTATGAGGGATTGTTGCTTTGCCATTCAGGTGCGTGCTAATGGAATCCCAATAATAAGATTAGATGACTATAACTTAGCTACGGACGACGGTGAGGAATAAAGGATGAACGTTTATTTTTAAAGCTTATAAATGAGTTCTTCATCAAGCTCTCGTGAACCTTCACTATCTATGAAACAAACTTTACCAAACGATTATGGAGCACCTATTGAATATTTCTTACGAGCTGCACAATGGCAAAGAGCAGTCTCACCAAGGTTAGGTTTCCACCAGCTCCTGTCAAAAATAGCATTTGGTCAAGTCCTTATATAAGATATGGTCTCCCACTAGGTTTGCTAGCTACAGCAGGAGCAGTTATGATGTTGAAAAGAAATAAAGCAAATGTTGTAAATAATACTGAAGTAGCTGAAGTTAAACAAACTCCAACACCTTCGCCAAAACCAACGCCTTCACAAACAACACCTTCAATGACTCCTGAACCTATGGAAGTACAAACTCCTGTTCAAAAGTCAACTCCTAAACCGACTCCAACATTTAAACCAGAACCTACTCCTCAAATAAATCGTAAAACTCCTGCGTTTCCTTACTGAAAAAATAACGTTATTTTTATTTAATATTAAAATTTTTATTTGATTGAAATGACAAATAAAGTCACTGAAGCAATGAAACAAAAGTTTTTGGTAGAATACATTAAATCAGGAACTATTCCAGAAGGTTTTTACATTCATACTATGAAGGATGGTAGAGTTCAGTTTAGAAAGATAAAGCAACCATTAGATAGAGAAGGTATATTAAGGAAGATTAAACTTCATGAGGACAACATTGCTGAACTTAAGAAGAAGTTAGAAGAGTTGGAGAAAGGAAGAGAGTTATAAAGCAATGAATTCAACAGGGTAGAAAAAGGTTAGAAATCGGGTTAGATCTAACCATCTACTCTAAATTTATTTTTGTGCTATGTTTTCATACGTGTGAGGGTGGTGATATCATTAATTTTTAAGTTTATTTTTTATTTTATTTATATTAAATGACGAAAACTATTGAGATAACAAACTACAACGGTCATGAGTTCAAGAATTTGTTCTTCGTTCCTCGTGAAAATACATTCTATCAGATACGAGGGAGAAAGGGTAAAGTTAGTTTGAGCGTTTATGACTACAAGCATAATGGAAAGTTTATACAAGCATACGATACAAACGGTAAGCGTGTTTCATTAGCTTTGTCAAAACTTACTAACATTTATTTTGACAGTGATTTTGACCTATATGAAGAAGAAAGTGAGTCAGAAGAATATGAACTGTTGTGTGAAGCACAGCAATGGGAGGAGTTGCAATACTTTTGTAAGTGAGAACGTTTATTTTTTACATTAGTGAGGTGAAGTGGTTGGCGGCTTTGTAAATATTTAAGGTTAAGTTAGTGTTGTCGTTTGTGTTGTAAAATATACGTTAACGGTTTTGTAAAGTGTCAAATTCACATATCAGGGGTAAGGAGGCGCGCAGTGCCTCCGTACCCTTGATATGTTTACTAACTTTGATCCGGGCAGCTCGTGACGGACATTTCGAAGCTTTAGAACTTCTCTTGAGTTTTCCAGGCATCGAGAAGAACATCGTCGACAAGAAGAATCGCAGTGCTCTTCATTACGCAGTTCTTCTCCACAACAAACAGTGCGTTGAGTGTCTTCTGAACGACAAAGATGTCAATCCACAACTTCCTGATGATTCTAGTTTCACACCTCTTCACATCGCTGCATCTAATGATTTCTCAGACTTAATCCGTCTTTTCGCCGATCGAGATGACGTTGACTTGAACTGCGTCGACTCAATCCAGTGGACACCTCTCCATGTTGCCGCTAAATGCGGCTCAACTAGTTTCGTCGAAGAGTTGCTTCAACACGAAAATGTCGATGTCAACCGTCAGAACATGATGAAGCGAACTCCTATTTTCAACGCTATTGAAAACGAAAAAATCGAAGTTGTCAAAGTTCTCCTTTCTCGTGAAGATCTCGATTTGAGTGTTGTTGACAGCGAAGGACACACAGCTAAAGACGTCGCACTCCAGACAAAGAACGAAGATATCATTAATCTTCTTTTAAATAAATGAGTTTTTTTATTTTTTTTGTTTGTAAAAAAATTATTTTTAATAATAAAAAACGATAATAATAAATCCTTGAAAAATTAACGCACTTGTCTAAAGGAAAATGATAAATGATGTTACGTATTGGAAGCATATTTATCCTGCTTTACAGAAATATGTTGAAAAGTGAGTAAAGTTATGAATAAACTGATCCTAGTGAATGATATTGTATTACACAGAAATTGAATGCGACATTTGAAATTGTTTGCAATAGCGAGAGAATAGATTATTGAATGACAAAAATGCATCTTGAGTGTCTTTACTTATACTTGTAATGACAAATGTTCTTAAGGGTGCACTTACGCGTATCTGACTTTAATTCAAATTTCTGACAAATGGCGTGAAGTGTCATTGAAAATTAACCTTAAACATCTGAATCGAAGGACATGTAATACAGGTGTAAGTGCACTCTTAAGAAAAATTTTCCACTTCAAGATAGCAATGATATAATAGAATTGAATAAGAAATCGTTAAATTTATTATCCAACATCTCCCCAAGATACAATGTCCAATCATTTGTAAACGAAGAATATTACAAAATATCATCGAAATAACAATAATTCTTTTTGCTATAGTTTTATTCTTTCTGTCATAGCAAATTTCTATTATAATATTGAACTCTTTATTGAAATATCAGTTTGTTAATACTTAGATGCCTTACAAAGAAAACCTATTTCGAAATTAAGAGCCATGTTCCCGATATTATTGCATTACTATATCAGTACTAATTATTTAAATTCACTGTAACAAATACGAACTCTTTGAAAATTAAATTGAGAAATCAAGCCGCATCATCTTTTGAATATAAAGTTTTTCATATTTCAATTGATATTAAACAATTGATGAATGCTTTCGTTAATAATGGTCTTTAATTACAATTTTTTGATTATATAAATTCATAAATCATGAATATTAACGCCTTCGTCTAAAGGAAAATTGATGATATAAATCAAAAGCAGATCTCATAGGCTTTTTATCTATAATAGGAAACTCAGCTTCACACAGATATGATGAAAAGTGAGAAAGATTATGAATAGAATATATATTTTGAACATTATTTGTTGTAACTGATCCATATGTTTGATCTATTATTCTGTCACAGAAAGAATCTTTAACTGTAATTGAACCAGAATAATCTTGATAAAATTCTTTTCCTGGTCCTGTGTTTCCAAGAAATGAACAGTTTTCAATAAGAACAGTTGATCCAAATGCATAGAATGTTCTATAATCAGATTCTTTATGTTCATTATTCAAAACATTACAAAAATTAAAATTATAGTTACCATTTTCTAATGATAAAATTGTATAATATGATGTTGTGTTACAAAATGATGAATATGTTACATTACCTAGACTTGTTGGATCACCTAAATATATTCCTGAGTCCCAGGCTGCTTCACAGAAACTTGTGTTGATTGATTTAACTTCAATATTTCCATAAAATAGATAATTTGTAAAAGATTTTTCTAAATTTCCGCATTCATAAAAAGAACTTTCATAAAGATAATTTTTATTATTTGAATTATAAACTAATTTAACATATGAATGATGTCCTTCTTGAGAGTTTGTTTTTGATTTGTAGCCACATGTTCGGTATTGGACAATGGAACTATCACAGTTAAAGTAGATAGATCCACCATCTGTATTACTGCTGCAATTAGTAAATGAACAATATGAGTTAAGAAATTTATTGTTTGTATTCGTAAAATAAATGGCACTATTGGTCGTAATGGTGATGAATATACAGTTATATAAGAAGCATTCATTATTTGTTGATCTTGCTGTAACATTTGTACCTTGAATTGGTTCTGATTTAGGTGATGTATTGTAAAATAACTTCCAAACATCATCAGGTAATTGATCAAAGTGTAAATTATTCATAGTTGATGTGTGTTTTGATACTGTTATCTGAAGATCGTGATTGAATTTCATTGTTTTCATCAAAAAAATGAATCGGCATTATTTGACATTTCAATGATGTAAATGTCAAATAATGCCGATTCATTTGAATCTTATATTCAAGTTATGAAATTGCGATTCTTTTAGCTGTCATCAGCATTTTAACAGCTAGTGCATGGAAACAATGATGTAAATCATTCTAATCTTATATAAAAACATCGATTTTGCTGATTAAATTTTTGGATTTCGTAATAAAATGATCAATATTGTAAATAATTAAAGCTATTGTACTTACACATGATTTGTATATTATAAAATGTATGAAATATCGACTTAATTCGCTTGAAAATTTGAAATAGGGAGAATTTTTATATAAAACGCCTAATATCTAACAATTATTACATTAAATGAATACTTAAATTTGAGTAATCGATGATTTATATGAATTCTCTGGTCTGAATAAAGAATATCGAAAATTAGTTTGATTTTGGGGTTGTTTTGATAGTATTGTCAAATGTAATGATGTAAAAACATGAATTTATTAGTAAATACATGCTCGTGTTTGAGTAAAAATAGATATTTGTTGTTGTGAAATAAGTATTTGATTTCTTGTAAATCTTGAATGAAAACAATAAGTTCGTATCAATGGGAAAATCGAATATGTAGCTATTTAATTTGTATCAAAAGAATTTTTTAATGAGAATTTAAATTTCGAAGAAATTTGTTATGTATCGTTGAGTTTTGTAATTAAAACTGATATGTTAATGATGTGATTTGCTTTTTTAAAACATTTATTAGTCTTGATGAAATAATTTTTCTTTTAGTTAAACATTTCTTCTGAGTTTGCTAATAAAGACGGAGTCCTTTGTGAATGTGACATAGGCGCCCGAGAACCGTATGCACAAAAACTCTTATTGGGTGTCTTGTCTTTAGATATTCTTTCAAAAATATGCCAAATTTGATTGATGATTTCTAAAAAAGTAATCTAATCATCTGATGCCATTAATTGTATTTAGAAAAAAAATTCGTTCTTTTAATTTTTTAAGAGTATCACAGCAGATGATTAACTTTCC